CCAATCACCAGGAGATGGTGAGTTCTAGTCCCGCCTTAGGCAGGAAAGCTAGCTGGATGACTTTGGGCCAATTCCTCTCTTTCAGCCCAATCCACTTCACAGGGTTGTTGTTATGGGGAAAAAGGAGGAAGGAATTTTACGTATATTCATTTCCTTGAGGTTTTTTTTTTCTTTTACAAAGTCATAAAAAAGGAAATAAAAGTCTAAATAAATGAATAAAAAAAAACTGTCCAAAGAGCAGGCTAACAGGCCAGGTCCCAACAAAGGAGAATTAATATGGGTTGCCCCTCTATGCGTGCAATGAATAATTTTTCACCTTTTGCCCGCTGAAAATTAATATTCAGTCACAATGCTGGGATCAAAGGCATCTATTATTATTTCGTTGGGGGGGGGGGGGGAGGTTTCCACCCACCGGCAAAACATCCCCCAGACCCACAATTGTCGCCAGTCCCCCCAAAGTCACATACTTAGCTTGACGGACCCGTCCATTCCAAGCAAGATGTTGTCACTTTTGATGTCCCGATGAATCACCTGGTTGCAGTGAAGAAACTCCAACGCTTGAAGGCACTGGGGGGAGGGGGAAGAGACAGAAGTGGGTCCCTGGAGGGGTCTGCAGGGTTTGGGGAGAGCCCCCTAGCTCAGATTCCGTGCAGTTTGGAGTAGCCCCAAATCCCGCCCCTGGCTGGCCCCGCCCACCCCGCCCCTCCCCGGAGTCCCCACATGGCCTGTTTTGGATGCCAGGTAAGTGGGTGTGTGTGTGTGCGGAGGCTCAAGGAGGGTGAAAAATGGGCCTCCCGGAAGTTCGGGAAGGCCGGAAATGGGCCTGTTTCTGGCTTCCGGAGCCTGGCGAGGCCGTTTTCGCCCCTCCCCAGAGGCCTGAGGGAAGCCTCGGGACTCTGGGGAAGGTGAAAATCATCCCTCCTGGAAGTCCTGGTAGGCTGCGCCCAGCCAGCAAGAGGGAGGGAGGGAAGGAGGGAGGGAGGGAGGGAGGGAGGGAGGGAAGGAAGGAAGGAAGGAAGGAAGGAAGGAAGGAAGGAAGGAAGGAAGGAGAGGGAGGGAGGGAAGGAAAGAAGGGAGGGAAGAAGGGAAGGAA